AATTCAGGATCAGATTGAAATGTGCTCAGTGCAGGGTTGGCTCCTGCAGGAAGAATCTGGACAAGCAGTCTCCATCTTCCTCTCTTTAGCAGTTTGTTTTTTTCATGGTGCTCGCTGTAGCATCCTGCTCTGTTACAAGGACCCTCAGCCACGAACATGATGTGTTCAGCTTTATTTCACCCACCATCTCCTGTCAACCTGTGGCGTCTCTGCAGCATTAGTACACACTGCTGGGTAGTTTTGTGCTGTCAGAGAGGTGGTTGACTTGACACAATTCCCAAATTTGCTGCTCTTCAGAACACAAGTAGCTCTGCTCTGTGATAAAAGGGGCAAGTCCGTAGGCCACCGATACTAGCTAGGCCTCACCTTAAATATGCTGCAGACATTCAAACTTTGATGTGAAGAGGCACCAAGTGAGATCGGGAGTCCTTACTCTGTGTGTATAGCATGATTGCAAAGACTTAAAAAGCACTGACTAGCACGTGGGTCCATGAGGAGCAAGTGCATGCCAGAAAGCTGGGGGACCTGCACTTTCCTGGCTTGTGATGTGGTCCAGGCTGGTGCCCTAACTAGGCTTGCAGGTATCTGGCAGTTCGGGAAGATCACTTAGGTATAGAGATGTGCAGTAACATTGCTTCCTTGCAAAAGCCAGCTTGCTTTACAAATGGACAAAGCTGAGAAGGGAGGCAGAGTTAAAATGATCAGTGCTGTGGTTGGTACAATGTTGGGAAGACAAATTCCTGATGTCTCCTAGTGTAGACCCAGTATACGCTAGTCTCATTTTTAATCTAGTTGGATGGGGGTTCTCTCACATCTTGTGCAGCTCTGTGTGCACTAAACTCAACTTTTTCATTGGTTGTAGGTGCTAGAACTTAAATATCACATATTTCTTGTTTGTTTGATGCATGCATAAGCATGCACAACTTTTCTTAAAATAAATCTTAAGAGTGGACTGATCTGTCTGAACCATGGTAGCAAACCCATGCCCACAGGTGGTGGAAAACTGAGTTGACCCCAGTGAGTGGAGATACATTTTGAGACGAGCAAAGGAGACTTCAGCCTTTCTCCAACCCCAGCCAGCTGAGCCTGTGGCTGTGCACGCTACGGCTTAGCTCTCTGCAGGACTTGGAGGAGGAGGGGGACACTTTGCGGTTGCTGCTCAGCCTGTTGCTCCAGAGCCCTACTGGGCTCCCAAGGCACAAAAGAAGCAGTGCTGCTTCAAAGAGGACTTCAGCAGCTCCTTGAGTTTTCAAAGACCTGGTGCCACTTTTTATGTGGATTTAGCATCACCCCTAACCTCTGGGTCACAGCTACCAAACAGTTCTGCTGCCTGTTTAAGCTCTGGTAATCTTGGCTGGATTTCTGGCTTAATTTGGAGACAGCCTGCTGCAGCTCTGCACAGTAAATGCACTATTAAGCAGTTAATTATTTCTCTATAATACTAGCTTTTATCTTTAATACAACAGTTTTACTGTCTCTGATAATTACACAGTCTCAGATAACTCTCTTAAATCTAATGAGGCATGGCAAGCTGTGTTCAACAAGGCACCACACCATTAACTTCTTACCTCTTACTTGTCATCTTATCACACTGAATTACTGTATTTCTAGCCTGAGTGCCTATGGATACATAACATGTCACTTCTCATTAAGACAATAATGAAAATCATCCCTGGTGTTCTTGCGGTCAGGCTAGTGGTCAGCTGGCTGGCCTGGTGGCCTGCAGACCCCTCCAACAGCTTCTCTGCAGCATCATGCTCTTTGCCCCATGAGCTGAGCAAGCTTATTAGGTTTGATTTAAATACTTCTGACCACTCAAACAGCTTGGTTGGTCCATGGGTCTCTTGCTTATGGGTGGGTGAAATGCAAATGGCCCTTTGAAGGGCGTCGGTGATGATAGATCTTGTTTGTTCTGATGGAAGTCGTTGCTGCAGGGGTATCTCGTGGTGGGATTCAGCTGGATAAGGGAAACCAGGCGTTTTTTTCTGGACAGGGATAGGACACAAAGTGCTGCAGCAATGCCTGGTGTAACTTGACATGACTGCTGCTTTGTTATTCGTTAATGGGAACAGCAGATTAGGTCATTGAAGTGCTGGTTTTCTGTGGATCTGAGAGTGACATCAAAAACCCTGCAAGTGCCTGACCAAAACCCTGGGATTAGGGGGATCGTCTTTTCCTATGTCGCACTATCACCTTGCCAGTAAAAGAAGCACAAAATTGTACTTCTGAAACGTTGAGGCCTCTGGCAGGGAAGTTCCTGCATCCTTCCAGGCTGGACCAGGAAGGCATTTCCCAGGGAAATGAGCCCAGGCTGTCCCTTGGGGCAGATGGTAGGGCTCCAGCTGGCAGTCTGAGTGCTCGAATACAGCTGGACGGAACAGATCAGTTAATTACTGTCTAGATGCAGAACAGCAGAGCCCTTTATTTGGAAATCAGCCGTGTCCAGCTAATGTTTGGGTGCTTCTTCCCAGACTTTGCTGAGCCTGCCACTGACTTGGCTTTTGGAGGTGGGTTTGCCTTCTGGTACGTGGAGCCTGTATGGGTTGTGCTGTCAAAGCTGTGTATTTCCCCACCGAGCAGGGAAGGAAAGAGCCTTGTTTTGGGTTATAACCTGAGTCATTCAGATTCCCTGTGGGTATTTTATGGGACCAGCTACTGTGGTGTGCTGGGATTAGATCAGTCCCTGGCTCTAAAAGGGCTCTTTTTGCTTGGACAGAAGCTGTTACCTTCTCCACAGTTTCATTAACTGAAAGACTAACTAGCAGGTAGAGTGTAAATCTGGCAAGAGAGCTGGATACCAAGTTGTGTTTAAAATTGTGCTGGCCTTATCAGCAGTGTTAGTGATCTAAAAAGGACCAGAGGTGTTGCTTGTGCCCTGTTGCTCTCACAGGCAGTAAGGAAACTCATGTCTATAAAAATGCATCTCCTTATCCCACTGGAGAGCAGGCAGAAGCATGTGGCTCTGATGTCTCTGCTTTCATCTGTGGCGCTCTGGGTCCCTGTCTTCGTATCCCCAAGTTGCCCTGAGAAGCATCTTCACGTGCCAAGAACTGTCAGCAGTGGAAAAAAGTCCCTTTCTTGGTTGTAAATTTGAAGGCAGTGGCTGCTTACATGTAGCTGGGGGGGGATGAAGAAAGAATAGCTGTGACAAGTGGGATGGTGTGTGTCTGTTCTGACTTTCGGTTGCTTTTTAAAGGAGCAGAGTAGGCTGTGGGGCTCCCAAGGGTGAAGACTTAGTGAGGATAAAATAGACTAACTGATGGTCTGTTTGGTTTTCTGCAGTCTGAGTACTCTTCAGTACTCGCCGCAGTGATATGCCTGATATTGGGCACAGCTGGGATGTATAGAAAGATTCGGTGATTAACACAATACGTACTCTTGGGGTGGTTTCTCTAACAGGGCTGTACATTGCACATCAATTCATACTCATGTGTCCTGCTGCTTTCAGGCTCCTGGTTTCGCTAGATGGCACCACCCAGCAGCTGCTCTGCTCGCGTTCCCGGCCGGACTGTCAGGAGTTAGAGAGGATGCACTGAATTATTGGGTTTTTTCCATTTCCCTCAAAAAAAAAAAAAAAAAGTCACAGCTCATTATTTTGAACTGTGATTGTTAATGATGATGTCTCTAGCTCTAGATGTAGCTGTTGGCAACCTTACCACAAAGCATGACAGTGCCACTGAATGCCCCTACTGTTTCTTTTTTTTTTTCCCTTCTAATCAATAAATCTAATGCAGTGGAAAGCCTCTTCCAGGTCTGCTTGTTCCAGAGCATTGGTACCTGTAGGTTTAAAGGGAGAAGAGTTGGCCTGGTGGCTGGTACTTTTTAAAATGGGCTCCTAGCTGGAGTGACAGCAAAACAGTCAAAAATTATTTCTGCATGGGATGTGGTCCTTGGTACTTTTCCATCAGCAGCTCCTATTTGTGCATGTAAAAGCTGGTTGAGCATCAAATCTCTGACAAACTAACTGGGACCCTTTGAGATGCTTCTGCAATGCTCAGAGCCCACTCTGAGCAAAACTAGGTAAAAATCCAACTTGCCATTATCTCCAGGTAGTAACTAGAGAAAGCTCAGAGCAGCAACTGCAACAGACAGCACCGGAGGACTCCTTGGAGGAGGAGAGACCTGAAGGGCTGCAAGGAGCAAACTCATCTATGGCCAGAGGAACTTCATTGAAGAATCATAGAATAGTTTGGATTGGAAGAGACCTTTAAAGGTCATCTAGTCCAACGCTCCTGCAAAGAGCAGGGACATCTTCAACTGCATCAGGTTGCTCAGAGCCATGTCCAACCTGACCTTGAATGTTTTCAAGGAAGGAAGAATTGCTTCAAATGTCTTTCAGGGCATATCGTTGGTGGTACTGAAGCCGTGTGTCTGACTACTGCTCCACAGTAGTAGCCAGTGGGCATACAAAATGTTGTGTAATGAAATAATGTTTTAATACTAGTTGGCAGAAGCTTGGAGCCGTGCCAGCTCGCAGGGTTTCAGGGCTTGGCACTGGTACCTGGTGGTATGCTGGAGATGTGTGCAAGGTTCTGCTTCCTCGAAGGTCCTCTGGTCCTGTTAGCTGCAAGGAGGAGGTGTCTTTATTGTGCTGCTGTGACTCAAAAGCTTAATGGACTCTTGGGCCATATCATTTCGCTGTCACTACCATAATTACAATTTGCCTGGAAGACTTATCAGAGCTGGTAGATAGTGGTGAACCCTCCCTAGCTTCCCTCAGGTCACTTCTCGTGTCATGAAAATGCTGCTGCTGAAGGACACCAGAAGCACACACCTACCTCCCAGACACCTCTGCTGTTCATCCTTCTGACCTGTGGGTGCACGCATTGCCTCTGGTCACTTTGGAACTGGATCCTTTGGCTTTGCTCAGCTTTAGACTGGCAAATGCTGAGGGTCCTCCAGATTTTTTGACTGCTTTTGCACTGAAGATCAGCACAGACTGCACATGTGTATTGGTTCAGCTCTGCTGGTTAAAGTAACCTATCTAATTATCTTTGCAGTAAAACGATTTAAGGAACCAAAGGAAGAGAGACGTCCCTGGAGGATATGGTGAGATTTTTAATTTGAAACTTGAGAAGACCATGTATCTGTAATATTATTTTCTTCTTATACTAACAATCTTCTAGGCCCTCTGAATATCCTGCATAGTATTTAGTCATTAAGTGAAATTCTCTGCTGCCACTTCCCAAGGAAACCTCCATAAAGTAGCTGGTAAAGTAGCTTCTCCCTATAAGTAAAATTCCCTGCCTAGGTCCTCCAGAAAAGCTTGTTTTTATTGTAGGTGACTGAAACAAGAGGTTATGGTCCTCTCCAGTCTGCTGGCATACCTGCACATGGGCTGTCTTCCAGACAGGGTCAAGTTTTGTTCTTAAATTTGATTAATCACTTTGGTGTCCCCTGACCCAGCTCAGGCATAGACCAACGTGTTTGGCTGTGTGTTGATGTCAGGTAGCTGGGTATTGCTGTCAGTGTCGGACACCTCTACAAAGCATCTCTGTGTTGTAGGATTTGCTGGCTGCCAAGAGGTGGGTGTATGAGTGGGCTCAGCGTGCGGTCAGGCTGGCTTGGCAGCATGAAGCTACCAGTTAGTGATGAAAAGCCCGTTAGTCTTCTCAGTTTGGTTCTTCCTCTAAAATAATTTGGGAATTCAATCCCATTCCCTGTGGACAGGTGCAAAAAATCATAAGTAGCTGAACACCTTTCCTGCACCTACTGCTGGTTGGAGAAACTGGGGCTGGGCTGGGCACTAGAGGTTGAACTGCCCTTTGCTGCAGGCTAAAACTCAGCAGCAAGTGTGAGATGCAGCTCTGCAAGATTGAGCTGCTACATGCTGAAGTGCTGTCTTTTTTCCTTAAGTATTTGGAGTCAGCAAAACTGTCCATTTTCACCATGTACAACTTCTTGGGCATCAGGAATGCATCTTGGAGGAAAGCAGATCCATGCATGGCCTTCCCTTGGGTGACTGCTGGGCTGCTGGTGCTCCAGGGCACAGATCTTTATGCTTTTTTTTTTCCTCCAGGTTTTATGATACCTCCAAGCAAGCAATAGGTGCCCTCTTCATCCACTTTGCTAATATTTTTCTGTCAGATCTCACTGAAGAGGACCCTTGCTCTCTGTAAGTACACAAGCATTCATGTCCTACATATGTAAAAGGAGGAAGCAAGCCTGTTGGAAGACTCTGTATACAGTGGAAATGGATCCATTTAAAGTACTAGGTGGGGATAAGCCATGCTGACCTTATTTTCAGGGTCTGGGTTGTCTCCTGGTCTGATGGAGATGAGGCAGTGGGACTGTGCTTTTCTGAGGATTAAAAGCACCTTGTTGTGCAGTAACGCAGTGGTGCCCCATGCAATTGCATCTGTTAAATGTGCCATTCGTTTGCACACCAGACTTTGCAATTTGGCTTGTCTCCGAGCAGTATTGAGGATGCTTCCCTAACTGTGTGGATGAAGACCTTTGTCCAATGTAAGGATGGTTTTTTTGGATATTCAGTTGCACCTACCATGTGTATTCTCATAGTCCTGTCTGGGGGCTTTCTAAGCCAGACTTCAGACTTAACATACTTCAGACCAGCCACTTTGCAGCTGCAAATTTAGGTTCAGAATTAACTTTATCCTGTTTTGAGAAATTCTTCTAGGCTTCACAATGCTGCTGAAAACCATCTGGTCCATCTCCTTTTTATATATTAAAGTGCTGCACCTTGATATGTTTCTTTAAACAGACACAAGTTTGGCTGGGGCTAAAATAATCTCTAATATGATTCATCACTGTTTTTTAAACAGACACTGTTTATTTTAAAACTGGTTTGTGCTTACGCTGTGCCCTTCAGGGTTTGTTTTTTTTTTTTTCCGTAATGTGTGTTTCATGTTTCCATGTGCTGCCTGACTTGTCATCCTGAACCAGGCAGCTTAAAACTCTAAAGCCCTGTCTCTGGGCTTTGAGGCTCATATGCTACGTCCTGCCCAGTATAAACCATCAGAGCCTCATGTTTGTATGGGAGTACTCTGACTTCAGTAGCTGGAAACTGTAGTAAGTTAGTCTGAGCCTTTGGATGTAGAAAAACTTAATGTCTTGTTTTCAAAATGGATATCAAAAGCAGATTGTTACTTTCAGTGTCTTTATTCAGAGGCAGTATCAAGTTCTGGAAAAGGACATGTTCATTCCTGTAGCTCTGCACTTGGTATTTTCTTCATGTTGTAGAAATCTGGCCTGATCTGGCAGAACATATTCCAATAATGGAAAACTGGCCAGAAAATATTAGTCTGAGTGATATTTTTGTCTCTGGAGTTCATTAAAATACCAAGGCCTGGATCAGAGCTTGGACCCTGCAATCCCCAGAAGGTCCCCACAGGTCTGCTGCCTCTGGCGTGCTGTCCAGCAAGGCTTAAATATCCAAAGCTGCAGAGCAAAACCCATCAGGCCCAAATCTCCTGGTGGGGATGGGTTCAGCTCCTGGATCCGCAGTGGGGACCCTGAACCGGAGGCTTTTGGGGACCCCAAGATGGCTCCTGCTGAGCCAGGTCTTGTTGCATCTCTCAAGACTTTCTGCCTCTCAATCTGCTTCTCTGCTCATAGGAGCCTCTCACAGCTGCTCAGTAAAATGGACTTTTTGCCCCTTCTGCTGCACAGTTTGCAGAGCAGCTGTGGTGTCCAAGAAGTTTCCATTTTCTTGTATGAAATTCCAAAAACGTTTGGTTCTGTTTCCCTGAGACTTTGTATTTCATCCTAATTAGAACAAAAGATGCTGCAAATGGAAAGCCTCTCTTTTCTGGTGTAACTCTTAAGCAGGGTTAGCCCAGGAGGTATGGAATGCTGTATGAATAAATGAGCAATGCCAGAGAGCTGGTGGAGCCTGCTCCCTTCTCTGCTGAACAGGCTTTTAAACTAAGAAATTGCTGGTAAGGCTATAGGTAAATCCAATAAAAGGGAAAGGAAGTGAGCGTGGACTATTAAGTGGGGATTTTTTGAATCTTCAGAGTTTTTTATGGATTCCCATAATGAAATAAAAGACTTTGAATACAGCTTAAGAACATAACTGAAACCTGACTCTTCCTTTGCTCTTAGCTACCTTATTAATTTCATCCTTGATGCCACGCTGGGGATGCTGCTGATCTGGCTTGGTGTGAAAGTTGTCTCCTGGATTGTGCAGCATAAGAAGTACACGTACCTGGTCTTCGGAGAATACGGTAGGTGTCAACTGCTCTGCACGAGGGTGGCTTGTTTGGTGTCAGCTATGAATGGGAAGAAGAAAAAGGGCAGAAACTACAGTTTGGGGAGAAAACATGGGAGCAGCCTGCTTCTGTTATCCCTTCTCCAAGGATTTCACAGAGTGTGGTAGTGATCAGCGTGTTAAGTGCTGGGACATCGCTAGGTTGCAGGTAACTCTGCCTGCTGCCTTGGCAAGCACTCTTGGGCATAGCAGGTTGGTGGTGAAAGGTTGAATGTTCCCTTGGGCGGATTTATACCCGAGGACATGCCTATGATAAACTAAGGTGTTTGGGTGTAGTGGTGGTGGTTTTTGTGAGGTTCTTTTGGGGGTTTTTCCTAGCCTCTCTCTTCAAAACATGGAGCTGTTCTTGCATTTGCTGTGAGCTGTAGTAGGCATCAGCAGGACACAGCCTGGCCCCAAAACTGAGTTCTCAAATGACTTGTGGGGGATTTATTTTGCCAGCTGATTTAAAAAAAAAAAAAAAAAAAAAAATGAAGTATGCCCAAGTCTGGCCTCTCTCTGCTTTGATTCCTGCCTTGAGATGGAGAAAAACAGTTTCAGAAAAGCTTTTCTTAGCCAGTCCCACTAGAGGGTAGCACTTCTCTTCAGAAAGAGTAGAGCCAGCTTCCAGGAGAACAGAAATTTTTCCCATGGCTGCAGGAAAGGGAAAAATTCCCCTTTTGCCTATTTTAAGTTATATCTACTATAAAGACAAATATATCTACTATAAAGATGAATTCAGTGTTACTTTTCAAAAAATATATCCTAATGGTTTTAAACTAAAGGAGGGTAGATTCAGACTAAACACAAGGAAACAATTTTTCACGATGAGGGTGGTGAAACACTGGAACGGGTTGCCCAGAGAGATGGTAGATGCCCCATCCTTGGAAACATTCAAGGCCAGGGAAACACTGGAGGGTTGCCCAGAGAGATGGTAGATGCCCCATCCTTGGAAACATTCAAGGCCAGGGTGGATGGGGCTCTGAGCAACCTGATCTAGTTGAAGGTGTCCCTGCCCATTGCAGGGAGGTTGGACTAGATGGCCTTTTAAAGGTCCCTTACATCCCAAAGCATTCTATGATTCTAGTGGCTCTTTCTCAGAGCAGAGGAGCCAAGAACAGAGTGCTAAAGTAATTCAGATGGGACAGCATAGGAATCCAGATATTCTTGGTTCAGGCACTGGAATTTTTCCCCCTTTTGAGCAACAAGGACTTGAAGCCAAACGGCAGCCATCCCAGGGCACAGCTTCATGTGCCACGTTTGCAGTTGAGCAGAAACAAGGAAATGTTAAAGCGTATTGACAGCTTGCTTTAACCTTGCAGAGCGGTAGTGAACTTCCATTGAGTTGTAGCTGGCCCCTCATGAAGGCTGGCTTAGACTATGGAAACAGTTCACTCCTCTGAGGAAATCTTGCTTTTGTTAATAAAAAAAAAGTTTCTGCTGTTGCTTGAATTTAGCTCTTGAATTGGGGATTAAATGTCTCGTCCACTGAGCACTGCTCTTGCTTCAGGTCTCTGGCCAGAGTGACCATGATGGAAAAGTTAGGTAGGAGTCAAGTGGCATATGCAGTGCAATCCTGCTGCAGGGCTAGGGAAGGAAAACACTGCTATCCTCATCTCGGGTGTTAAGTAACTTCCAAAACAGTTTGGAAGATGCTAGTAAACTTTGTACAGTTTGATACAGGCTCCAGAAATATGATTCATTTTCTGGTCTAATTGCTGTACCAGACTTCATGTTTCTTTCCTCAATTCTTCTGAGGAGCAGAAGCATCTCTTGCAGTCCTGCAGAGGAGGAAGGGCAGGAAAGCACCAAACCCATGTTGCAGATAGTCGTGAGTGCCATTGCTCCAACCATGAGGAAAGAAGAGTTGTGTCTTTGTCCAGTATAGCCAGTACCCATCTACCTGCATGGTCTTCAAGCAAAAAAAAATCTGTTGCAACTGCCTCCTTTCTGACCCTCCAGCTCTTGGTTGCATCCCTGCAACTGATGCAAACCGCTGCAGTCATCCTTTGTTTAGGGCTCCAGCAGTCCCTTCTGCTCTGCTGCTGGTATGCCTGTCTCCACAGCCCCGATGGTTCTCCCTGTGTGACTGCAATAGCTGCATTAATGGAGAAGCAAAGAAAAGGTAAGGGAAAGGACCTAAATCTACACTGCTATTTCAAGCATCCAGCTGTCCAGAACTGTTTAGAAAAATCAATTACTTTCGTATTTCAAAAAAAAAAAAAAGAGGACACACCCATTCTGAGATCAGCCTCTCTTGTTCCTGAGCTCTGAGCCAAAGGCTGCTGCAGCCAGGAATGACCTGGTTTTTAGCTAGTGGAGAGTCAAAGGCTCCTATATGCTTATATTCCTCCATCTTTGCCCGACAGCCCTTGACTACTCTTTGAACTGCATCTAAGCATAGGAAACAGTGTTTTAAAAGGCTGCTGTCTCTTCTGCAGATGCTTAGCGCCTAAGATCAAAGATTGGAGAGGTTTATTCTTCATCTTGGTTCAAGTAGGCTTTGGAGAATGACGATTGCCTTACACATACTCAAAGCTAAGAAACTCCACAAATGCTCTGTGCACCATTGCTTTAGCAGGGTATAGGCCATGTCGATAGATGTCCTCCCTGTAGGGGACTTCTGCAGGGAGGAGAGCAGAGCAAAGGACTTGAGAGGTGGACACCCGAGGTCTTGGAGGTGCTGCTGGGTCTGTACAGACTGAACAAGGGAGATGCTGGCTGGAGTTAGAGCATGCAGGTGAAGCCTGGTTCAGCTTTGTGCCCCACATCCAAACTGCTCCAGCCATCTTCTTCCTCATCTATTCCCATGGCAATAAGCAGCTCCCTAGAGGGAACCTCTGGCTGGCTGCAGTGTCCTGGCATGGTAGTTGTGTCTAATAACTCTAAAGTATTACTTTAGAAATACTGGAGTATTTCTTTTAGGTAAGCAAATGCTATGAATTTGCATTAAGAGATGATTTCTGCAACAGGCAAGTAAAATGCTGAAGAGGAGCATTAAGAAATGACGGGGAGAAAAAGAGGGTGTTCTTGCTTGAAAACGCCTCTCTGGATGCCCATCTGGGTGCTGACTTGTGTATGACTGTGGTCGCAGTCACTGACTAGTCTGTTTGATGCTTTGTGCTCATTCATTGTCTGGAAATGGAAAGGCATGTTGCTTGGAGGCCTTTAAATTCTGTTTAGTGGCCTGTTGAACTCTGCTGGTCAAATTTAGTTATAGGAGAACATGCTCTGTGCCAGCTGCTGAGTTTAACTGAGGACCTGTGTAGGCTGCTTTTGGCCCTGTTGTGATGTTGTACAAAATTTCCATAACAAATATTCCCACGTCCTGAAGCAGCCAAGGGAGCTGGCTGCTAATGCTTGAGGAAATACTGCTGAAAATAGCTCTAACCTGAGGGGCTGTCCTGTCCTTAGTGTGCTTGGCCTTTCCACCTCCAGGACCAGGGAGAAAAAGTAAGGAGAGGACTGAGGATCATCCTGAAATGGTGCAGTGTGTGGTCAAGTCCCCTGCTCTGAGCAGGGGTGCAAACCTTTGAACCTTCCTGGATCTGGCTGATAGCAGCATTGCTTACCCCAATGCCATAGCAGTATCTCCAGGGACCAAAGACCCAGAGCAGTGGTGAGACACTGCAAACCAGGGACTGATTCCAGCTGTACACTCACTTTTAGTTCAGATGCAGAACATGCCAGAGAGGGTCTGCGTTGTCCACTGAACCCATCTGGCTGCTCTGATGCATCAGGTCCTAATCTCTGAAAATCTGTTCTTGCCCTCAAAGTGAGCACTTCTGTGCAATTCCTCCGTACTTGGCATGGATAATTAGATCCTTTGGTTTTGGAAATACCATTTGAGTAGCTCTTAAGAGGTTTCTATTGACTTTTTCTAACCCCACCATGTCACCCAGTACAACTTTCAGTGCTTTCAAATATTTGCTTTTCCTCAACCCCCTGAACCCTCTTCTTTGGCTGTGGTTAAGCTTTTTCCTACCTGCTCAGTGCGCACGCAGTTCCCAAAAGACCGTAAATAAGCTGTCCGGCAGTAACATGTGGGCCGTGCTGACAACTTGGTACATTAGACAGCCTGGATTAAAACTAATCCTGTTGTGTGGTAAAAAACTCAAATACCTCAAGCAGTGCTGCTTTTGCTCTGCGAGCAGACGGGCTCCCACGCACAAGCAGAATATGAGATGTCCATTTGTGTAAGGTTGCTACAGGCACCAGTGGTCTGCACCAAGGAAGCTTTGCTGATGCTGGAGAGCACCAGCAATGCTGCTGGAGAACAGTCTAAATGCAGTGTGTGCATCCTTTGGGGTGAAGGAGGATATTTATTTCTGTCAGGATGGGAGATGGCTATAAGAAGGTTTGAGCAAAGGGTGTTCATGAAGGTAGAAGGAGAGATCGGTGGCAGAGTCAATGTGTAGAGCTGAGATGTCCTGGGTTACCTTCCAACTAGGACTGGGGACAAGAAAATGGAAGTGTTCAAAGGGAGCATGATACATGTAATCTCCTAACAGGTGCAATGTGGAGGCTGCAAAGATCCTTTGGACCAGTTCCCCACTCTCCTGTAAGGAAAGGGAAGCTCTGAACACAGCAAAGAGGAGGGCATCTATTTATTTTTTTCTAGCCTCCAGGTAGCAGCAGGCAATCCTGTGTGGCAGAAACAGTCTTGTAGGCACTTACCTAGATTTATGTAATGGAAACACTTCATGTAAGAAGAATCCTCTTCCATCCTTGGAGCAGGGCACCTCTGGACAGCACTTGATCCATTAAAGACATTAAGTTTCATCTAGGGATGCCTCTGATCATCTTGCTGTAGGAAGCCAGCACCTAAATGAGGTGTGTGGTTAGCTGGGATCAGCTCAAGTTTTCCAGCCTTGCTTCCGAATTGTAGGAGGAGGAGATGTGGCCAATCTGTCTTATGGGCTTGTCCAGGGACCACACCAAAGGCTCCCTCTTACCTGATGAGATGCCAATAGATGGTGACTCATATGTTACTGGCATTAGTCAGTTAGATGAATTAGTGGTGAGTTAGACTTGGATGATGGCCACTCTGAGGTGGATCAATGGTCCTTGGATGACTTCAAACCTGTTGAGGTAAGGAGTAGCCAGCTGAGCTCCTTGGTGAAGAGAAAACGAGCCACTCTTTATAGCTGAAGTCATCCTTGCAGCCCTGTGGGCCATGTTGCTATTTCATTTTCGTCTTTGTCCTGATTTATTTTGGTACTAAGCAGCCTCCTGTCCTTGGGAGACCAAGACGCAGTAAAAAGTAACTGTGGAGACACTCTCTGATCTTCCTCTCAGGGAATGGGAATTAAGTCCTGTCTAATTTGGTGCTCCAGGGTGGATTCCTGTACAGAAACATCTCATCCTGTAGTCTGAAAACAAAGCTCAGAATGGAAAAGGAGGAGGAAGAGCTTGCAAAACAGTAGCAATTTTGAGCTGCTTAAGGTGATAGAGCAGATGGCCAGATCTGGCCTCTGTGTAGGTCTGTGGGTCTCTTTTCATATCCTTCCACTGTCTACCCTGGACATGTAAGACTCTAACTCTAGAGGAGATTTGCAGCATCTTCTGTAGGTGATGCAGAAAAGACCAGAGTGAGAAATATGAGTATTTGAAGCTCCATGCTGTGATGGAGGCACCTTTGACAAGGTGGGATGTGGTGGATAGTAAGGGGTGCAGGTCTGGCCTGCTTGGCAGTGCAGGCTTGCTGTACCATTTGCACATGTACACTTAACCAGTGAAGCTGGCCTAACTGGGGCAGACCTCTGGTCTCCGAGATGTGGGGTTCCCTAGGTGGGATCTTGCACAGTAAAACTGGTCTCTAGCAAACAGAGAAAAGGTTTTCCTTTTCCAAAGGCTGTCAAACCTCAAGAAAACTCAAGAGCAATTTGATGGCTTTCTTGCAAACTGAAAGTGAAGGGAAAATTTTTTGGGTGAGGAGCTGTTAACCCTGGAGATGTAGGCAAGTCCATGCCTAGGGTGGGCTAAGAAGCAGGTTGTCTTTTCTAGTGTCTGTGTATCAGCCTGGTTAGCCAAAACCTGGCTAGCGCTGTCTAGTGCACAGTATACAAAACTAAGAACCACAGCCTTCTGTTCGTGATGATGAATGGTAGTGATCTCCTATCCCCAAAGGGTGTGAAGGGGCAGGTATTTGGGAGACATCTCAAACTTGTTGCTGCTTTTTGGGCAAGCTGAGATGACAGAGGGAGGTGTTCTGTAAGTACCATCGCGACTGCAGTGCAGAAGAGCTGACTTGCAAAGGGTGCTGTGGTTGTTGGTCCTGTCTCCCCACGGGAGACGGAGCACAGCTGACAACAA